TGCATGTATGCATGCATGTCTGCAGGTGTGTTTGAAGGTCTGTATGCATGCATGCATTCATGCGTGCTTGTATGCATGTAAGTAGGTATGCATGCCTGTATGACTGTAACATGTCTGTATGTAGGTGTGCCTGGCTGACTGTCTGTATGTATGGGTGTGTGTATGCATGTACTTACTTATGTAGGGGATGCATGTATGTATGTATGGATGTATGTATTGCTGTGTGGATGTATGTATGTTTGACTGTATGTATGCATGCATGCATGTATGCACGTAGCCATGCATGTATGTTTGTATGTCTGTATGCATGCATGTATGCATGTCGGTTTGTCTGTATGGCCGCATGTGTTTTGTTCATGTGTGTGGATGTTGGTATGTATGTTGGGTGTTTACATGTATGCATGATGTATGTGTGTATGCCTGTAAACATGCATGTCTGTGTGGATGCATGCACATCTGTAGGTACGTATGCATGCACGTATGTATGTATGCATGCATGTTTGCATGCATGCACGCATGTATGTATGGATGTATGCATGCATGTGTGAATGTATGCATATCTGCATGTACGTATATGTTTATGCATGTATGTGTATGCAAGTATGTTTGCAGGTATGTATGTGTGCGTGCATGTATGTATGTATGTGTGTATGCGTGTGCTTGTATGCATGAACGTTTTTTGGCATGCATGCATGTGTGTATGCATGCATGTACGTATGTATGCATGTATGTATGCATGCAAGCATGCGTGTAATGTGTGTATGAATGCATGTCTGTACGTACGTCTGTGTGCATGTCTGTCTTTATGTATGCATGTCTGCATGCATGTATGCATGGGTGTGTTGCATGTAAGTATGCATGCTGGCTGTCTGTCTGTATGTATGGGTGTGAGGATGTATGTATGCATGTATTTCTGTATGTAGGGGTGCACGTTTCCATGGATGTATGTATATATTGTTGTATGGATGTATGCATGCATGTATGATTGTATGTATGTATGTATGCATGTATGTATACATTCACGCATGATTGTTTTATGCATGCATATAGGTATGCATACATGTATGCATGCATGCATGCATGCATGCATGCATGCATGTATATATGCATGCATGCACTCATGTATATATGTCGGTCTGTCTGTATGTCTGTGTGTACTTATATGTGTGTGTGTGGATGTATGTATATATGGATGGATGTTTGTATGTGTGCCTGGTGTATGTACGTATGCCTGTAGGCATGTATGTATGCATGACTGCATGCACGTATGCAGGTATGTATGCCTGCAACGCTGTATGTATGCATGTATGTATGCATGCATGTATGTATGGATGTATGCATGCATTCATGTATGCATGTCTGTCTGTGTGTATGTCTTTGTGTGTATGTATGTGTGTATATGGATGCATGCATGTATGTTGGAGGTTGGGGGGTGAGATCGAAGAGGAACGGAGAGCCCCCCACCAGGAAATCGGTTTCGGTTTCGTGTTCGTGCGTGCCGTGCGTGCGGGCGAGGCGAAGCTGCGTGGGCGGGCGAGAGGAAAGTCTCCTGTGGCTGAGGCGCGGCCGGACCAAATGATTCTCCCTCAGGCAAGCGGTGGCCCGCGGTGTCCCGCCGGTGTCCCGCCGTTGTCCCGCTTGTGGCTGGGTCCCCGGCGGGACCAAATGATTCTCCCTCCGGCAAGCGGTGGCCCGCGGTGTCCCGCCGGTGTCCCGCCGGTGTCCCGTCGGTGTCCTGGTGTCCCGCTGGTGCGAAAACGATAGTGAGACCGATGACGAAATCGATAGTGAGATCGATAGTAAGATCGATATTGAGACCGATAGTGAGATCGATCGTGAGATCGATAGTGAGATAGAACGGCCCCCCAAGCCCTTGCAAAATGAACTAAATAAATTACCTATACGACCACCCTGCGGGTGATGAGGAGGGTTGTGGGGGAGGAAGGCCAGCAATGGGCAACAGTTGTGATTGTTGCGTTGCCGCTCGCTCTTGGGACCATCGATCCCACTATCGATCTCACTCGATCGATCTCACTATCGATCTCACTCGATCGGTTTCACTGTCGATCTCACTCTGGATCTCGCTATCGATCCCACTATCGATCTCCCTATCGATATCACTCGATCTCACAATCGATATCACTATTCATCTCACTATCGATCTCACTATCATCTCACGATCGATCTATCACTCTCGGATCTCGCTATCGATCCCACTATCGATCTCCCTATCGATATCACTCGATCTCACAATCGATATCACTATTCATCTCACTATCGATCTCACTATCGATCTCACGATCGATCTCACTATCGGTCTCACTATCGATCTCACTATCGATCTCACGATCGATTTCGTCATCGGTCTCACTATCGTTTTCGCACCAGCATTTTTGGTCCGGCGGGGACCCAGCCACAAGCGGGACACCGGTGGGACACCGGCGGGACACCGCTGACCACCGCTTGCCGGAGGGAGAATCATTTGGTCCGGCCGCGCCTCAGCCACAGGAGACTTTCCTCTCGCCCGCCCACGCAGCTTCGCCTCGCCCGCACGCACGGCACACACGAACACGAAACCGAAACCGATTCCCCGGTAGGGGGCTCTCCGTTCCACTTCGATCTCACATCCCAACCTCCGATTATTTCGTTGGTTCTCGGGGTGGGAGAATGATACCAAGGCGCCCAAGAGCGAAGGATGACGTAAACAACTCGACACCAAGGCTGCCAAGAGCGAGTGGCAACGCAACAATCACCACTGTTGCCCATTGCTGGCCCCCCTCCCCAACCTCCTTATCACCCGCAGGGTGGTCGTGTAGGTATGGATGGATGTATGCATGTATGTCTGTTTGTGTACGTGTATGTGTATGTGCATTTGCATGTGCATGTGTGTGTGTATGTGTATGTGCATGTGTATGTGCATGTGTATGTGTATCTGTATGTATGTATGTCTGCATGTATGTATGTATGTATGTATGCATGTATGTCTGTATGTATGTGTGTACATCGGCATTTACGTTTGCATGCACGCATGCAAGCATGCATGAATATATGTATGCATGTATGCATTCGTGTATGTATGCATTCATTTATACATTGCTCTGTATATGTATAGATGTATGCATGTTTGTATGCATGCATGCATGTATGTATGTTTGTATGTATGGGTATATGTATGTATGTATGTATGTATGTATGCATGCATGCATGCATGCATGCATGTATGTATGTATGCATGTATGTATGTATGTATATATGAATTCACGCATATGTATGTATGTATGGATGTATGAATACACGCATATGTATGTATGTATGCATGTATGTATGTATGTATGAATGTATGTATGTATGTATGTATGTATATATATATATATATATGTCTGTATGTATGTATGTATGTATTTTTGTATGTCGGAGGTTGTGGGTGAATCCGACGTGAAACGAAGACCCCCCCTACCGGGAAATCGATTTCGGCTTCGGGTTCGTGGCGTGCGTGCCGTGCGTGCGTGCGGGCGAGGCGATGCTGCGTGGGCGGGCGAGAGGAAATCCTCTTGTGGCTGGGCCGCGGCCGGACCAAATGTTTCTCCTCCGGCGGCCGGTGGCCCGCGGTGTCCCGCCGGTGTCCCGCTGGTGTCCCGAAATCCTCCTGTGGCTGGGCCGCGGCCGGACCAAATGTTTCTCCTCTGGCGGCTTGTGGCCCGCGGTGTCCCGCCGGTGTCCCGCTGGTGTCCCGAAATCCTCCTGTGGCTGGGCCGCGGCCAGACCAAATGATTCTCCTCTGGCGGCTGGTGACGCGCGGTGTCATCGCCACATCACATCACGCTCACGTGCACAATCACACTACTCACTAGACTCCGCCCCACAGGCATCGTCAGAACAACACTCACCACTTTTGCCCATTGCTGCCCCCCCCACCTCCTTATCACCCGCAGGGTGGTCGTATAGGTATGTATGTATGTATGTATGTATGTATGTATGTATGTATGTATGTATGTATGTATGTGTGTGTGTATGTATGTATGTATGTATGTATGTATGTATGTATGTATGTATGTATGTATGTATGTATGTATGTATGTATGTATATATGTATGTATGTGTATGTATTTATGTACGTCTTCATGTGTGCGTGTGTGCGACCCGCGCCGACTGCTGCCCACATGTGTCCCACTGCGCGTTCTACCGATGCTTCCAGGCTTCGTGCCTCCCTTCCCGCACACACAAGAAGCCGTACCTAGACAGCGCATCGGAGAAAATACCATTCCTCCCCCGCCCCGCATTGTCCTGCTCCTCTTGTCAGGAGGGGGAAAAAACACACAGACACTCTTAACCGTCGATCCCCAGGAGAAGGTGCGAAACTATGGGGAGTGCGGGGGAAGACGAAACTAAAAAAAAGTGTGGAAACACATGTGGAATCCTGGTATGTGTGTGTGTGTGTGTGTGTTTTGTGTGTCCCTGGGCCCCTTCATCCTTGCCCCCCCCCCCGAGCCTCGGGGCGGCTCGCACCGCGACGCCCAGGCGCGACCTGGCATCTTCCTCCTCCTGCTCCTCCTGCTCCTCCTCCTTTTCCTCCTCCTCCTGCTCCTGCTTCTGCTCCTCCTCCTCCTCCTCCTCCCCCTCCTCCCCTCCTCCTCCTCCTCCCCCTCCTCCTCCCCTCCTCCTCCTCCTCCTCCTTCTCCTCCCTCTCCCTCCTCTCCCTCCTCCTCCTCCTCCTCCTTCTCCTCCTCCTCCCCCTCCTCCTCCTCCTCTTCCTCCTCCTCCCCCCTCCTCCCTCCTCTTCCGCCTCCTCCTCCTCCTCCTCCTCCTCCTCCTCCCTCTCCTCCTCCTCCTCCTCGTCCTCCTCCTCCTCCTCCTCCTCCTCCTCCTCCCCCTCCTCCTCCCTCCTCCTCCTCCTCTCCTCCCCCTCCCTCCTCCTCCTCCTCCTCCTCCTCCTCCTCCTCCTCCTCCTCCTCCTCCTCCTCCTCCTCCTGCTCCTCCCCCTGCTTCTGCGGGCGGCCGAGGCGACGAAGGCGCTGGTGTACTTCAGCGGTTTCCGGCTGGCGGTCGCCTCGGGCGAGCTGGGCAAGGCGGCGCCGCTCGCGGCGAGGCCGCTGGGCCGGGCGCCTCTCGCCGCCGGCGCCGTCGCCGCTGCTGGCCTCGCCCCCTCAAGTAGTGGCGACGCGTCCTGGCTCGCCTATGGGTCCACCAAAGAATGTTCTCAGAACCTTTTGTGGTCTGCTCGGAATGTTACTAGAACATTTCTGGCTGGGCCTGTCTTGTTTTAACACGTCGGGTTTATGGTGTAAGAACATTGTTTTGGTTCTAAGAGGATTTTTGGGTTCTAAGAACATGTCGTGGTAGGCCTATAGGAATGCCGGGACGGTCGGTCCCTGCTCACCCCCCGTCCTCGCCCTCCGGTCGGTATCGCCCAGAGTCGATGATTCAAAGATGGGGTCCTGAGGGATGGCCGTCTAAGGATAGGGAGGAATCGAAGGGTGGATTTGCGTGGTCTGAGGCACCTCGTCATCAGGACCCTATCCCTCAGAGCCCCATCATTGAACCACTGACAGAGATTCTACAGGCTTGCGCCACATGCGCCGACCCCTTTGAACTGCAGTGCGCTTGGAGATTCAGCTGGATCGGACTGGGGGGGGCGTCGCCGTGCTCGTGCTCGAGAGACAGTTGTGAGGCGTCTTGGGCATCATTTCGGGTCTTTGTGGGTCTCGTCAGGGCCTCGAGGGCGCCTGCTGACGGCCTCAGAGGTCCTTTTGCGGCGAGGAGTTTAAAAAGTCAGTTCGCTTTCATCCTTTGGGGACCTCCTGGGCTGTCCTGGAGTCGTCTTGGGCTGTTTGGGGATCCACCCGGGCCGTCAAGGTTTTTTTTTTGGGGGGCCTCTTGGGCCATCGTGGGGTGACCTCAACGGCCTCTTCGGCCGTCTTGGGCGCTGTGAACGCCCACGAGGTGAACCTGCTAAACGTACATGTGGCCCACAGGGAAATGAACGATTGTTGCGTCGTGGGACCCTTGGTGGAGTGCTCAAGGACGCCTCTTGGGACTTGTTGGACGCCTCATGAGCCGTCTGGGTGCATCCTGAGCGTCATGGGCCGATCTGTCGGCGACCTGGAGCCTTCTGGAACCGTCTTGGGTGTCCCTGGGACGGTTTCGGAGCTACCAAAACGCATCAGAAGAGCCTGGATCCGCCCACGACGCGTTCCTGGTGGGGTCGTTCGGAACTAGGCGTGTGTGAGGGGGGTCAAATTCCAGGTATGGTGGGTGACAGTGTCACACGAATGGAGACCCACAGGTGGTCGGCGGATTTGGCCAGGTTTCGACCCCCTCCCGAAACAGCGCCAGTGTTGAATGTCAAGCGCACGCAGTTCATGATCACGCCGTCGTTGGAAGTGACGGCGCAGGCCGCACAAAGGCGGACTATGGGCGCAGTGATAGCGAACCTTGAGAGAGGACGCGGCGTCAGTTGGATGTTCAACTACGTGGCCATCACGCGCGTGTGAAGGCGATATAAACAGCTGATTTTCTATCTATCTATACATATATACACATCTACGGTTTTGTTTATATAAAAGAAAGCACAGGAAGCCGTACATCGCGAAACAGCTGTTGCAGGTTTTCCGGGGCCAGGATGTGGACTTACTCCTCCCCCGCTTCGCCAAGAAAAACTCCCAAGAGGCTTCTGGGGGGCTTTCCGAGACCCTCAATACGCTTCAAACGTGCTTTCCAGAGGCTCCCCAGAGACCGCCCGGAAACCACTCGAACATCGACTCCCCCACCCGTCCTCCTCTTCCGCCTTCACCTCCTGGACTCCCTCTTCCTCTCCTCCTCCTCCTCCTCCTCCTCCTTCTCCTTCTCCTCCTCCTCGTCCTCCTCCTCCTCCTTCCACCTTCCGTGGGGGAGGGGCAACTATTGCATGTCTGTTTTGAGAATCCTTCAAATTTGGGGTGATCTGGAATGTGTCCGCACATTCCTTGCCAAGGCTGCAAATTGAGAGCGCGACGTCTTCGAAGCCGAAAGGATGGATTCCATACAAATTACAGCGGCAAGAGGCAAACATAATTTTTAAGTTGATCCATGTTTTCTGGTGTTCGGATTGTGGGGCTTCTGGGGCTCCCAAACGACGGATGAGGACCGCAAAGTCGTTCCGAAACAACCCTAAAACCCTTTTCCTTTTGAAGGCTCGCACGACGGCCCAGCCCAAAACACCCCAGGAACATCCAAGATTGATCAAGAGGACCGCACGAAGGAACGATGTTCCCGAAGGCTTCTCCGGGAAGATTTCGCCGCCGACGACGATGAAAACGAAGCTGATGACCATCGTGGTGATGAGGGTGGTGATGGGCGAGACGACGGATGTGACGACCTAAACGGTGAGCGTTGTGTTTTCCTGATAACGGCGTTGATGAGGATGATGGGAAAGCGAGTGGAGATAATCTCTCGGGTGCGGACGATGATTGATAATTAATGACGGCGCGCGGGGGTGACGTCGCCGCGCCACCAACAGCACCGAACCGATGATGCCAACCATGAGGGCGGGGTTGTTGATGATGATGATGATGATGATGATGATGGTGATGATGTTTGACAAACGTGATGGCCAGGACGAGCATTAATTTGAGGGAGTTTCTGTGGAACTCACGTCATCCTCACCCCCGGCGCGAAGAGCACGAGTCCAGAGCGGCCTCCGGCACCGTTTCCGGACGGATCCGGACGGATCCGCTGGATCCGGGGACGAATCCCAAACCGGCGCCCTCGCCTGAGACATCCCCGCAAAACCGGCCCCGGGGGAGGTGCCCAGAGGAGCCCAGAGCGGCCTCCGGCACCGTTTCCGGACGGATCCGGACGGATCCGCTGGATCCGGGGACGAATCCCAAACCGGCGCCCTCGCCTGAGACATCCCACAAAACCGGCCCCGGGGGAGGTGCCCAGAGGAGCCCAGAGCGGCCTCCGGCACCGTTTCCGGACGGATCCGGACGGATCCGCTGGATCCGGGGACGAATCCCAAACCGGCGCCCTCGCCTGAGACATCCCCGCAAAACCGGCCCCGGGGGAGGTGCCCAGAGGAGCCCAGAGCGGCGGCCTCCGGCACCGTTTCCGGACGGATCCGGACGGATCCGCTGGATCCGGGGGACGAATCCCAAACCGGCGCCCTCGCCTGAGACATCCCCGCAAAACCGGCCCCGGGGGAGGTGCCCACAGGAGCCCAGAGCGGCCTCCGGCACCGTTTCCGGACGGATCCGGACGGATCCGCTGGATCCGGGGACGAATCCCAAACCGGCGCCCTCGCTTGAGACATCCTCACAAAACCGGCCCCGGGGGAGGTGCCCAGAGGAGCCCAGAGCGGCCTCCGGCACCGTTTCCGGACAGATCCGGACAGATCCGGTGGATCCGCGCCCCGGGGGAGGTGCCCAGAGGAGGAATGAGGAGGAGGAGGAGGAGGAGGAGGAGGAGGAGGAGGAGGAGGAGAAGATGATGGAGCTGCGGGGTGGAGGAGGACAGACGGAGGCAAGAGAAGGATGGAGGAGGAGGAGGAGGAGGAGGAGGAGGAGGAGGAGGAGGAGGAGGAGGAGGAGGAGGAGGAACCTCATCCTCACCCTCGCCAACAAGCGCACGCACCTTCTTTTATATACAGAAACTCCCGATCAACCGCAGAGCGGCCGGCTAGTATTACCATCAAAGCGATGCCGTGTATTAGCGAGGATGGGAAAGTCGTGGGGGTATCCAAGGATCCCACGAAGGCAACATGTTCCCGGAGAGTTTTCCAGGAACATGCCGCTGACGACGGCGATGATTGAGAAAATCATGACCATGGTGGTGATGAGGGCGGTGATGGGTGAGACGACGGCTGTAACGAAGTACGCGGGTCGCGTACTGTTTTCCAACGCGATGGCGGTGATGAGGATGATGGGAAAGCGAATGGGGAAAACCATCCGGGTGCGGACGATGATTGTGATAACGGCGACGGGTGGTTGTGACGCCGCCGCATCACGAGCAACGTTGAAACGTCAATGTCAGCCAGGGTTGCGAAGATGATTTTGATGATGCCGATGATTACGATGACGATGGTGGTGGTGATGACGATGATGATGTTGCTGTTTGACAATTTTGATGGCCATAACGAATTTGAGCACTACCATCATGACGATGCTATATAATGATGATGCTACGGAGGACGAGGGAGACGACGGTATTGATGCTGAAGGGGTATTGATGCCGACACAGTTTCTGCACCAACCACCCGATCTGTGCTAGAACCAGAGCGCGCGCGATGATGACAATGATGGATGACACGATGGTTGCGACGGCGTGCGCGCTGACTTTAGCTTGTCCCATTGTGGTGATGATGGTCCGGATGATGAAGAAGGATATGATGATTCAGATCAAGATGATCATGATGATGCTGATGATGACGGGGATGAGTTGGTAAATGATGATGGCGATTCGAATGATCACTATGCTGATGTTGATGCTGACGATGATTACGGTGCGTGAGTTTGGCATGTTGCATACCAGCATCACAAGGCCATTGATGTTACCAATGCAGATGCAGATGTTGACGCGTAAGACTATGTATGTATGTATGTATGGATGGATGGATGGATGGATGGGTCGATGTATGTATGTATGTATGTATGTATGTATGTATGTATGTATGTATGTATGTATGTATGTATGCGTGTACGCGTGTATGCATGCATGCATGCATGCATGTGTATACCCATACATATATAAATATAAAACGAGGTAGGCGCTCCAGAGGCCCAACCCAGCGACAGCAAGCCTCCATGGGAGGACCGGGGCCCCAGAAGCGCTCCAAGAGAGCGCCAAGACGGGTCAAGAGGGCCTCCAGGCGGCGTGCGGGGCTGCCGAGACGGCACCATATTGCGTCAAGTGCCCATGTTTGCTCAGGGCAGTTAATTATTGGTAGGGCGCACGCAGCGAGGGCAAGTTTTGCAGTCAGCTTCAGACCACCATGACTTGTCAAGCCGTGGCGCTTCTCTGCGTCATTCTCGCGTATTCCGTGGAGGGTGCGCTTGAGGGCTTACCATGCAGGGATTCTGTGCTCACATCTGATGTTTCGATTGCCAAGTTTACGCAGAGCAGCCTTGGAGGTGCAGGGGCGGATACAGGGGCACAGGACATTCGTTGTTCGGACCTCGGCCCCACGCTGGATGGCCAAAATGCCGGTTTGGTTCTCACAGCAGATGGGTAAGATGCCGCGTTCAATCACGCACACATCGGAGTCAATAGTGCTGGCATGGGGGAAGTCAATGTCGCTGGGTCGTCGTTGTTGTCGTCGTCGAAATGGCATTTCCGATTTGTACATGAGAAAGGCGACGACCTCTGTATTGGCAACGCCGCCATCACGATATGGGGGTAAACGTTCTGGCGATAACCAACAGTGCGAGGTCATGGCAGTCTGTCGGGCAGACATGACGACTTTGTCCAAAAATTATCCAACAAGGTTGGACTCGGCGGCTACTACATGTTCGGTTCGGATGTGCGTGTCCAAGGGGGGCGCATCGTAGCAGTACGTCTTCCTGCGTCCCATCCTACGGCAGATTCGCGTCGTGTCGACGTGGCGGCGACCCCAGCGCGGGCGTTCAAGGTTGAACGCCGCCAGTGACCCAGAATCGGACCAAATAGAAGGATTTGGCGATTGGGCAATCGCCGATCGATCGAGGTCGATCGATCAACGCGGTGTCGGAAGCCAGCGCGGTGGCTGTCACGACACGAACTTGCTGAACCCCCCTTGCTCCGAGGGCCAGGGATTGCACCATCCTGGCTGAGGGGCGCGACTCCCTCTACGTCGCGGCGTTCAACGGCTACGCGAAGGATTGGGCGACCGTTCCACAAGACGATGGCCCCGACGGCGACAGCGACGACGACCCACGACCGACCGACGACAACCGATGACGACCGACGTCGACCGACGACGAGCGACGACCGACGACGACCGACGACGACCGAAGACGCGGACGGCGTCGGCGGCGGCGGCGACGACGACGACCCGGCGCCTCGAAACACACGTGGCTGGCGTTTTTGTCTTTCGCATTCGGTTTCCTGAGGCGCTGTTCGACCCATCTGGGAGCGCCGAGGCCCGCGGCGAGGAGCTGGGCTTTCGGGACCATCGGGGAGTAACCCGCGGCTAGGAGCCAATCCTGGTCAATGGGCCGAAAGCTCTGGGGGCCCACACTGTGAAATGAACGAAATGCTGCGCTTGTGGATAACAGGAGGGAGGGATAGTGATACAGCGGGGATGATGATGAGGATGACGATGATTACAATGATGATGACGATGATGATGATGCTGATGCTGATGATGATGATGATGATGATGGTGATGCTGCTGATGATGCTGATGATGATGCTGATGATGATGCTGATAATGATGCTGATGATGATGACGCCAATGATGATGATGACGATGATGATGATGCTAATTATCATGAAGATGATGCTGATGGTGATGAGGACGATGGTGATGGTGATGGTGATGCTGGTGATGATGTTGATGATTACGGTGGTGATGGTGATAATGGTTTTGATGATACTGCTGCCGGTGATGCTGTGATGCTGCTGATGAAGATGATGAGGATGATGCTGATGATGCAGATGATGACGATGATGCTGTTGCTGATTATGTTGATGATCATGATGATGGTGGCGATGACGACGACGATGATGATGATGACAATGAGGATGATGCTGCCGATGATTCTGATGCTGCTGCTAATGATGATGCTGATGCTGATGCTGATGCTGATGCTGATGCTGATTATAATTCAGATGATAGCGGTAACTGTTTTTGCTGATAATGATGATGCTGATGCTGATACTCCTAATGATGCTGCTGATGACGAGTATGACGATGACGATGCGGCTGATGACGACGATGATGCTGATGATCATGATGATGATTATGATAGTGATGCTGATGATGCTGTTGTTGATGCTGTTGATGATGATTATGATGCAGATGATCATGATGATGCTGCTGATAACGCTGATGATGCCAATACTGACGCTGATGCTGCTGATGATGCTTATGATGATGATAATGATGATGCTGATGCTGTCGATGATGATGCTGATGATGAAGAAGATGCTGATGTTGATGCTGATGTTGATGGTCATGATGGCGATGATGCTGCTGATGATGATGCTGGTGATGCGGATGACGATGCTGATGATGATGCTGATGATAATGTTGATGATGCTGATGATGATGCTGATGATGGCGATGATGAAGATGATGATGATGATGCTGATGCTGCTGCTGATGATGATGATGATGATGATGATGATGATGCTAATGCTGATGCTGATGCTAATGTTGATGCTGCTGCTGATGATGATGGTAAGGAGGATGATGACGATTAAGAGGATGAGGAGGATACGCAAGAGGAGGTTGACGAGGGGGTGGGAAGCGGAAAAAGGATGATGATGATGATGATGATGATGAGGATGATGATGATGATGATGATGATGATGATGATGATGATGATGATGATGATGATGATGATGATGCTGATGATGAGGATGATGATGATTTGGTGATGCTGATGCTGATTTGATGATGACGATGCTGATGCTGATGATGCTGATGATGATGCTGCTGCTGATGATGATGAGGAGGAGGCGAATAAGAAGGGTCCGGGGTTGGAAGGACCTGGGACATTTTATCGTTGATCTCGTCGTCGTTGTCTCCGTCGAAGGGAGTGTTTGTTGGGGTTCAATCGGGGCTCAGAAGAGTGATGAGCGGAGGAGGAAGAGGAGGAGGAGGAGGAGGAGGAGGAGGAGGAGGAGGAGGAGGAGGAGATGGAGGAAGTGGAAGATGTTATCATTGGGGTTCTGATGGCTTGCTTCAGGGCCTCGAGGCCTCCTGGAGGGATGGGGACGAGGAGGAGGAGCAGGAGGGGAGGGGAGGGGAGGGGGAGGGGAGGAGAGGGACGGCGAAGGCAGGGGCGGAGAGGAGCCCGGAAGTCCCGATGTTGCCTGTTTTTGTTGCACCCTGGGCGTGATCGTTCTCGTGCGCACTGGGCCCGCTGTCTGGCGCGTCGTGCGGGAGGCTCTGCCGTGGACGGCGCGGGGTGCAGCATCCGTGGTGCGGCGACTTAAGCTCAAGTCGGGCGCCAACATCGCAGGAGGAATATCCTGGCGCCAGCATCGCAGAGCGGATCTCGTTCGGAAAGCGATAGGATGGGCCCGGAGAGTCCTGGAGAATTTCGTTCCGGATTTCGAAGTGAATTGCGTGCGTATTTTTTGTGGCCGGGAGTGAAGACCAAAACAAATGCGCGTGAAATTCGCTTCGTTTTTCGCTCGCCGCTTCGGGCAAAAATCCACGCAGAAATCCGCTGCAGCACGTCTGCAAGGCCAGTGCAATGAGGCATATCACCAAATAGTAAAAAAGTAGCCTGGGGACGATTTATGCGTTATTTTCGATCATTATTGGAAATTTCGGCGGTACGTTTATGTTTTTCCTCCGCAGTCTGCCTGTAGGGGGACATGCCCGACCCAAATTTAAGCGAGACGTGCCCTGCGCGGCTGTCCACCGGGTTCTCTGCGCGCCTGCCTTCTCGATGCTGCAGTGCCCACGAGCTTGCCGTGCGGCCGTTCGGGTGGGCGAGAATGTCCACGCGAAGCGGGCACGAGGTGCACTCCTACTGCTTCCACGGGAGGTCCATGTGGTCATGACATTTTCGTGCTTTCCTATTCCTCTTCCCACAGCAGGAGCCTTGATTCGGTGTGCGCGTTGATTCGGGGTGCGTCAGGCGTGAGTGAGGTCCGGCGCCGATGGGGGCGTCAGGCGTTGATGGGAGGTCAGGCGTTGGAGAACGGCTGGGCATTGAAGATGTTCAGGCGTTGAGTCGATGGACGTCGAGCATTGCCTAGGAGTCGAGCGTTGAGGTTGGGGTTAAGCGTTGAGGGGGCCATGCGTCGGTGGAGGTTCAGGCGTCGATGGTGGTGGGGGGCGCGCTCGCGCGTCCCGCCCCCCCCCCAGCCCGGCCCCGCCCGGCCCGGCCCAGCCTGGCCCGCGCGCGCGAGGACCCGGCGAGCTTCCTCAGGGACAGAGACAAGTGGATCATGCCGCCTTGAGAAAAGAGTTGCCCTCTCTCCGTTCCCTTTGCGCTAGGTCGGGCATGTCCTTCTACAGGTGGAACATTCAGACATAGTAAGAACATAGTTTTTGTTCATTCAAAAAGTAAGGTTCAATATATGAATTACTTTTTGACCTTATATATCTGTGTATGTATGTCTGTCTGTCTGCCTGTCTGTATGTATGTCTGTCTGTCTGTCTGTCTGTCTGTCTGTCTGTATGTATGTATGTATGTATGTCTATATGTATGTATGTATGTATGTCTGTATGTATGTATGTATGTACGTATGTATTTGTATATATATTTATTGGTGCACAAATATATACATACATACATATATATACACATGTATGTATATATATATATATATATATATACATATATTCAAGGAAATAGATTTTCTTCGACCAAAATTCCCGTGTAGGGGGGACAGGCCCGACCTAACCTTTGCGCCCTGCTCCCCCGTCTTTCCTGATCCCTTTTCCTCCTGGCCTGCCCTCCTCCCCTCCTCCCATCTTCCCTTCCTCTTCCATTCTCCTCGTCCTCTCCTCCCCTCCATCCCTCCTCCTTCCTCCATACTCCTCCACTTCCTCCTCCATCCTCTCTTCTCTTCCTACCTTCTCCCCGCTCTGCTTTCTTCCCTCCTTTTTCCTTCTTGTCCCCCTCCCCTCCTCTCCTCTACCTCCCCCCCCGTCCCCATGCTCCTCCTCGCTCCTCCCCCCTGCCCCGCCTCTTCTTATCCTGACTCTTCCTTGCTCTTCCCTCTTACCTTATTCTTGGAGATGCTAATGCAGAAACGTATCAGGGTCCATCAGTCTATGCCCGCTCCTGTTCCGCCGAGCCTCACTTGCGTCTGCGCGCCCTTGAGCGCTCGTCTTGGATGCCCGAGTGCTGGCCTAAAGCAACGCAGAGCAGCTGCCTAACCAGATCAGCGACTCGTGACCTGCCGCGACTACGGAAGAGGATCACAGTGATACATAGATAGCTTGAGCATGGAATCTCCTGTTGTGGTGGGAAGGCCTCAGAAGTTGTCAAGCCACCCATCCGGCATTTGATCAGCATTCCAGGAAAGCGTGACGCAAGCAGAGGAACGGAGCATTTGAGATGCCCGTGCGTTGGACACGTGGGCCCAGGACGCATCAGTGGGCGCCTCCGCCAGATACAGACAGCAGGCGGAGGCGACTGACAGCGAACATGCCGAGGAGGTATAAAAAATGTCGAAAGCAATGCGCATTATCCATCTCAAATGGCAGCTCACACGCACATACCATCTGTTCAATCGCCCCGTACTTCTGCATGGTACCGCAATCACATGTTCGAATACCGTCTACCTGCATCACGTATCAGGTGCTAGTGCCCCCCCTGGTGAAAGACAGCTGCACGGTACCAGCTTCGGTATCTTCCACAGTGCACCTCTGCGGGTCAACGTGCTGGGTGTGGATGTGTAGTGTGCGATGATCGGGGCACGGAAATGACTGCTCTGTCGCGCCGCGTGCTTCCTGGGGCGTCTTCTATTTGTTCTGAATGGCACGGGTTAGTACAGCTACTTGAATTAGCACTACTCTATAAGAATGAACATGTGATACATGATTTTGCTGTTGAAGATGACTGATCCAGTAGTCGTGCAAGTTACGGGGCAGTGGGCAGTAGCTGACTCTAGGGCGTGGTACCTCAGATCGGTGACTATCATATGTAGCTAAGCTCGGTCGTGTTCGCTTTCGCCATGTCCGTCGCTGTTGTAATCGAGGTTGATAGGCTTGCGAACGCAGGCGTTGACAGTGGCTACCTGTGTTCACCCGCCACTCCTGGCTTGACACATACACGTGCTCTTTGTTGTCCTGATGTTGCTGCAAGTGACGAGGGCTGGCCAACAGTGCCGATGCGCGCGGTGCTGCCGACCAAAGACATTGAGGCCACCAACCCGATCTGGACCATCAAGCAGGCAGTGGCACGTGATTTGCGTGGAGAGTTTTGTACCATCATGCCGGCTCGACTTGCTCAGGATGTTGCTCATGCTGCCATGGGAGAAAAGAGATGTTTATCATAGGTACCAGGGTACGAACCACACATGCTTATGGATACTCAACGGACTATTGCTGACCCCGCTCTTGTACCCAAAGAACTTCTAGTCTCTCGGTCCCATGATCTTCGTCCGCTTGCTATTTTACCCGTGCCCCCGAAGGCGGTTGGAGGGTCCCTTCTCGAATCCATCGACGAAAAATCATTGATCATGCGCCGTGGCAATCTGATTATCGAGAAGGGCATTCAGTTGTGGATATGGTGTTCATTCTTCTGCTTATATGGCGCAGAAGAGAATGCAGGGCGGGTCGGGCTGCGTTTGCTCGTCGGCGGACATTCCCAAAGCTTTTGATACTGTTTCTCACTTGCGACTGCTGCAGAGTCTTGAACGGAGAGGAGTGCCACCTCATATATGCGCCTGGTTTTGGAGACACGTGCGCTCGATTCGGTGTAACATGCACTGGTGCGGAAATACGGTCACGACGGAGCGCATTGCACGGGGTACTCCTCAACGGGCTGGTTCTGCGTTTTTGTTTTGTTGGTTGTTTCTCGAAATCTGTTGGCGGATTGCCTGCGCTGCATTTGGCAAGAATGTGTGGGCGGAGGACCAGAAGCTACTCTCTTGGATGTGGCTTATTGTCTTCATCATCGTGAGAAATGGTGCCGTGTTTGCTATGCGAAGCTTATCCCCTTCATTGTGTGGAGTGATCACGTCGTCATCTTGGGAATGCCAATTGAGGAGTCCAAGGAGAGATGGGCGAAGTTGAGAAAAAGGTTTTGGCGACACATGGCTGGCAGCTACCTGCAGATCGGACCAAGCTGCTCGCCAGCCAGACGGATGAATCGCTGCGCTGCAGGAAATATGGAGGGAGGTCACAGCCTTGGGAAGTGATCAGTCTCTTAAGATAACGGGAGTGTGGATGAATGCGAGCGGCCAGCTGGACCAGGACATCAAGGCGAAGACTTTCACGGCTACATCTGCAGTTGGAAATGTTGAGAATTTGTTGGCGTCCAGATCGAACTCACGGAATGCACACTTTCGACGTTTTCACTAAGTTGTCCAGGCGTCTTCCTTTTGGAGTTGCGCACTGTGGCATCTTAGTCGGAGACAGGCTCTAGCACTAAGGGCCGCCCAGACCAAGCAATTCGCACGTCAGCTTTGGTGGCCCCGTCTACCTGATGAACGCGAACACTGCGCTAAGGCTGTTCGGGGGAAGCCAGAATAATGAAAAACAGCAATAACATTCATGATCTGGATGTCGTGGCCTGGAGGAGATTGCGTCGATATGCTGGGCATATTGCAAGGAACGCTATGCATTATCCTGACAGTATCGTGGCACATGTATGTCACTGGAATTCTGAGGCCCGCACCATTCGTGAACAAAGGGAAGGGGAACAACAGGGATTTCGGATGTCTTCGTAGCAGAGTATCTGGGCATATCAGTTCGTGAGGTTCTACGGGGGCTTGAAGATCGACTGGATCGTCTTACAGTTCAGGACCGCCATGAGTAGAGGAGAAATGAGGAAGAATCTGTAGACCTGCGTTTATGGGAATCCTGCTCGCGCGCCGTATTAATAAAGCAATTGCAGCGACAGCTGGTGGGACACCCACTCTTAACGCTGACCCCCACTCCTCCTCCGCCTCCTTGTTCTCCTCCTCCTCCTCCTCCTTGTTCTCCTCTTCCTCCTCCTCCTCCTCCTCCTCCTCCTCCCCTCCCCCTCCTCCCCCTCCACATCCTCCTCCTCCTCCTCCTCCTCCTCCTCCTCCTCCTCCCCCTCCTCCCCCCTCCTCCCCTCTTCCTCCTCTCCTCTTCTCCTCCTCCTTCCTTCTCCTCCTTAAGTACTCCCCTCCCCCTCCCCCTCCTCCCCCTCCTCCCCCTCTTCCTCCTCTTCCTCCTCCTCCTCTCCTCCTCTCCTCCTTCTCCCCCCTCCCCCTCCTCCTCCTTCTCCCCCTCCTCCACCTGCTCCTCTTCCTCCTCCTCCTCCTTCTCCTCCTCTTCCTCCTCTTCCTTCTCCTCCCCCCCCTTTCCGCCCGACGCCCTTCGTGCAGTCACGTGCGACTCCCGACGCCAGCTTCCCGTCTGTGGCTACCGCTCCTCGCAGGCCCAAGGGGAACCATTTTCTGGGCTCGAGACCGAGCTCCGCCCAAGCCGCTCCGCGGCGGGAGCCAGCAGCCCCGATTCGATTTTCCCAAACGTTGGATGTCTGATTTTTTGGGTCGCGATGGGTTGCGACCGATCGGCGCCCCAAATCGGTTCGACAGGTCGTGGAATGTGAGGCGAAATCGATAGCGACCTCTCTAGCGGCGGCGAGCGAGGGGGGAAGTGAGTAGGGGCGGGCCTTCTCAGAAGGCTCGGAAGTCCCCCAGGCTTCTGAGAAGTTGTCTGGGAGCTTACCCCCGGAAGCAGGAAGCATTTCTCAGAAGGCCGGGGGCCTCTGAGAAGCCCCGCCGCCTCCTGAGAAGGCTATATATCCTTTTCATTCCCCCCCCGTCGCTCGCCGCCAAGTCTACTCGGTCGCCACTTCCCCCCCCCATGACGCCCGTCATCGCCGAACACAAAGAGGCGCGCTCAAGCTCTGGCATCCAACGGTCAGGGCCCCCGCCTGGCCTCGCAGCCCCCCCCCCCGCTGGAGCGGACCCGGCGCGATGTCCGGGAGGGCGATGACGCGGTCGCCCCGGAGCCGGCGGCCCGACGAGGGCAAGCCCGTGACCCAGCAGCAGCTGGAGGCCGCCGTGGATGCTCTGCGCAGGGAGCTCGAGGACAAGCTGGACGCCGCCCTGGATCGACGAAGAAAAAACCTCCTCCCTCCTCCCTCCGCCCTCCTCCCTGCTCCTCCTCCTCCTCCTCCTCCTCCTCCTCCTCCTCCTCCTCCTCCTCCTCCTCCCCCATCAACCTCCTCCCCCTCTACATCCTCCTCCTCCTCCTCCTCCTCCTCCTCCTCCTCCTCCTCCTCCTCCTCCTCCTCCTCCTCCTCCTATGCGCAAACATAAAACTCTCGGTGGTCGTTTTCTTACTCGTTGTTCTGCCGATCGGCGCGGGCCCTCGCACGCCCCCCCCCTCTGGAGTAGGCTTCGGCTGCTTTGTCGGGCGCCTGTTTCGAGCAGGCGGGGTCTCTCTCCCAGGGGACGCACCGGTGGGAACAGCCGCACTGAGCCGAGGTCTGGCGCCAGACCCCCCCCCCGGCCCCCCCCCTTGCCGCCCAGTGTCGAATCGCCGAGTGCGACAACGCTTCCGGTGCTCGGCGCGGCTTCCTCGGAGCGGCGCCGGAGCCCCCCCCTTGCCGGCGGCGCCTCCGCAGCGCCGCCCCCGGCGCGCTCCGCGCCCCAGAGGGGGGGAGGTCCGGCGCCGATCCTTGAGAGATCCACGTGGAGCCCCGACGGTTTACAGTCGGGGCCCTGAAGAAGGAACCCTTTTGGTTGGGGAGGGGCTCCGCGTTCCTTAAGTGTTTCGCAGCTAGCCTCAGGTTTTCCTTATGTTTTCGATAGGAAATCGAAGTTTAACTTATGGAAAAAAGGGGCCTCGTTCCTTATCTAGGGTTCCTTGGGTCAACGCCCCGACTGTATATGCTTGTGCCGGTTCTTTCTCCGTCTGCTGGAGGCGCGCGCGGCGGCCGGGCAGCCGGGCGCCGCGCCCCCGCCCGGGCGCCCCGCCGCCGGCTCCGCGGCCTCCAAGAGCAGCAGCGCCTCCGGCGGCAGCGGCGGCCGGGTGCTCCCGCCGCTGGCGCTGCCCCCGCCGGGCGACGGGGAGGCGGCCAGCGCCGTGGGCGGCGGCGCCACGGCGGCGGGGCGCGGCTCGGGGAAGGCGTCGGCCACACGTGAGAGTGCCATTTCGCCGGAGCGACTCTCCGTGGGATCTTCGACTGAACACGTAAGAGTGCCCTTTCGCCGGGGGGTGACCTTTGGTGCGCGGGCTCATGGCCCCCCCCCCCCGATCCTTGAGAGCGATGCGATAGCAGCGTTCTGCGCGCTTGGGTTTGGCACCCTCGCGCCCCCCCAAGGTCCGCGCACCAAAGGTCACTCTTACCCATGGTCACTCCTGCGTCTAGCCGAGCTCCAGGCGTTGCATTTTTTGCACAGCGGGCGTTTTCGCCCCTCTTCGGGCCCCAGGGCCCTCACATATCGATGGGTCTCGAAGAGTGGCACAGGAAGATGGGGTCCGGGGCTCCGGTTGTGATTGGTTGTGATGCTGCCCTTTTCTGGCACCGTCGGATCTCGGGGTCCGGTGCGGGCCCCTGGAGTTCTCCGACCGCTGAGCGCGATGCGGCAGCACCGGCCTGCGCGCTTGGGTCCGGGCCCCCCCCCTGCGCCCCCCTGGAGCTGCGCACCACGGGTCGCTCCTGCCTGCTGCTCCTGCACGTGGCCGAAGGCGAAGCACGTGACGTGGGCGGACGAGGTCGCCTTCGACCCAGAGGAGTCGAAGAACAAAGCACGGCATGAACGTACATTTTTCCCGGATAGCTCGCAGAGAGCCAAGAGGGTTTCAGATTAAGGAACCGGAGCCGCAGGGTAGCCCTGGAGATCCTTCCGGCGGTGGTCCACACACCTCAGCGCAAGTTGCTCGAGGCGGCAGCGTGTCCCGAAGGGCATTTTCTGAGCGTTTCCCAATACGCGTGCCCGGAAGCTCTCCAGAAAGTCCTTCGGAAGCTCTCTCCAGGTTCTTCCAGAGTTCTTCGCCAGGCCCTTCGCTTTCTCTGCTGTCCGGGTTTTGGGCTCCACAAGTGGGAGCTCCGCGCGGATTTTGTTGGATCTGCGCGGGAGCCCCCCCCCCCCGCGACGGCTCCGGCGCCCCTGGCGCGCTCTCCGCGTGCCAGGGAGAGGGGTCCGGCGCAGATCCAAGAACTCCGCGCGGCGCTCCGAAGGTTTGTGCTCTGCATCTTGTCTCGAGTCGGGCCTGTCCCGCTGCAGGAGGAATCTTTAAGAAAAGTCAGCAAGTAGTCCCGGGACGATCTTGCGAGTAGTTTTGGACTATTTTTGAATATGTTTGGTTTTTTTTTTTTTTTTTTTTTTTTTTTTTTTGTTTTTTTTGTTTTTTTTGTTTTTTAATTCTCGTGCAGAATCTCCCTGCAGGGGGACATGCCCGACCTATATTTTGCCCCTCCAGGAGGAGATCGCCCTCGGCGGGGGCATGTGGGACGCCGCGGTGCTCATCGGGTGCCCGCAGGTAGGAGTAGGCGGCTCTGCATTCACGGCGTTCACGCTCCTGCTCAACATCGTGGTGCAGGTGACGTTCTGCTTGATCGTGAACGACAACATTCGACGAAGAAAAAGCGCCATCAACATAAACTTTTGGCGCTCCGTGCGGATTTCTTGGCTCCGCCCTGGGACCCCCTCGTCGGCGCATCCGGCGCCGCCCCTGGCGCGCTCCGTGCGCCAGGGAGGGGGGTCCAGCGCAGATCCAAGAAATCCGCGCGGAGCGCCAAAAGTGTATGTGTATAGCGTTTTCTTATTTCTTCTAGACATGACCCATCCGGCGATCGATTCGACAACAGTCCAGGACTTTCGAGACTGGCGGACGACAATAGCGCACAATGTGAAGTTTGTGGATTCTCTCACGTACCGATCTCTGGCCAGAAAGGTGTGCACCTTCAGGGATGCTCCGTTGTCTTCCGGGCCAATTAGTGGGCTAGCAGCGATCAGTGAGTACAGCCCGCTCGAAGAAGAAAGGAACTACCACGAAGCGCCCCCGCTCGGATATTGGTTTCCTCACTCCATTGCGGGATCCGATCTGAGCGTTGGTGAGCTGATGTGTTGCCTTGCGCTGATCCTCTGGTGGTTTGCGGTGCTAAAAGAGATCTACAGCATCATCAGCTTGTGCCAGGCACTCTTCTCGCTCCCATTCGGGCGCACCAGATTATCTGACACCCCTGCCGGGTTCGTTCTGGACGCGGTGTCGCGCCCCCGCAGGGTCGTGTTCTGCGCTGTGGCTTGCGTTCGCTCCTTGGTCTGCGTTTCGCTCGCTGTCTGCGGCACGCTCTACCTTGTCACCACGCTCTCGCTTGGCGATCTGCTGCTCAATGCCCTGGCGCTGGAAATCGTCCTTTCGCTGGACGAGCTTACATTTGAAGTCTTGGCGCCCCGCTCTGTCCGGCTGCTGATCTCGTCAATGGCCCCCTTGGTCAAGCCTCGCAGCCGCTCATGGCGCGGCTTGGATGTGAGGCCCGTTCTCGCGATCGCCTTCATAGTCGCCATGCTGTCTTCCGTTCACTATCCATTTGCGCTGCTGCGCGATTCCGCTACCACGCTCTGGCGGGGGGGCTGGGGGTCGCCTTGGAGGGGGTGGGGGAGGGGGTGCCCCGAGGAAGGGTTCTTGACCCCCCCCCTTCCCCAGGCTTGGTGTTTTAGAGCATGTTCTGCCTGGAAGGCCCAGAACACGCAGGGACTTGGCCATACAAGTGAACGCACCTTGGGCTCGCTGCGTCGGGGGGCCCAAGCTCTTTGCTCCGTAACTGGTGAAGAAGAGACCCGACGCACACCCGCTGCTGGCGCGGTGGCGGATTTCTTCCTGCGCGATCAGTCGATCATCCTTGAAGACGCGCGCCGAGAGCTTTGCGGCGGAAATCTGGACTTCATCGCCACCGTCGACAACACTGGTCTGGTGGTCGCCTTCAATCCTGGGCCCGACTACAACGACAGGGTGTCGGACACAGAGTTCCTGGATCTCCAGTATGAGTATCGCGCGTTCAGGAGCCTCATCGAGAATTCAAGCGAGCTGGTTTTGGACAGCTACGAAGGCTCCTTAAGCAGCCTGGCGTACGGGTTCAGAGGCAGCCGGTTCACGGTGGAAGGCAAACTTTGGCAGGACCTGGCCGATGCCACCTCCCAGCTGAACATCTTGTGCTATGATCTGGACTACCCAGGCTCCGAGTTGTGGGGCACCGTCTCGGAGGTCCTGAACTCCCTGGACGTCTCGGAAGCGCTGAGCGGCGAGTCCCCCACGGCAGGGCCCTTCCTCTCCTGTGTGGACGTGGGCCCCCGGTGCGGCGAGGAGAGCACGTTCGGCACCCGCGCCAGGCAGTACTGCCCGATCACCTGCGGCTGCGACCACGCAGCCAGCGCGCTCGCCCTTTTCGTTCCCGAGCACGGCTGCCCCGCCGCCTGCACCACCGGGCAGCGCTACCTGCAGACCCTGGGCGGGATGACCTGCTCGGACTGGGCCCCCGAGTCCCCGCGGACGTACCACGGGGCGGACTGGTACCAGGGAACAGACCTGGTCCAAGCCTACACGGATGGTCTGCGGCAGACCACGTGGCCGCCAGAGGTCATAGAACACATGATCCAGACTATGTCTGACGCCATAGCTACCATCGGCTGCGCGGGGGTTGCCCAGGCCATGCTGTCGTACAACGACTCGGATCCAAATCCATGGCAATTCGGAAACCTGTGCGCGGAGACCAATTTGTACGGCTTCCGGCCCATAACGACCATCTGCCCGGTGTCATGCGGCTGTCAAGAGACGCACGCGTTGCTCTGCCCGACCTCCTGCTAGCTGGCCTCTTGCTCCTTCCGTCTTCTCAGCATCGTCCAACCAATTCCCATCCCCCCTGGACCATGGTATCTCAGCCCCGCCAGACCATCCCTCCCATGTGGGGATGGGCCTTGGGAAATCCAACAGAATTGGCATAGGCCCCATGGTTCGACAAGCCCCCCCCCCCCGGATGCCCAGATGGGACGGGGGATGACGATGGAAGACGACGACGACGATGAAAGACGACTACGATGACGACGACGCCGCCGCAGCCGCCGCCACCAACGACGACGATGACGACCAACCACTCCGCACCCACAGGGGGAGGGGGGGCACCGGCACCCGCCACCACGCCTCGCCCACGGGGCCAGAACCACAGGGGGACGGGGGAGGGGCGATCCCATTCGCGGCTCACGGGCGCACCCATGAAGCGGGGGATGGGTGGGGTCCGCTCCCATGAGCACTGTGGGGGGGGCGGAGCCCTGGATCAGATATTCCCATCTGCGTGAGTAAGTCGGCCAACGGGGCCGAGGCCACGGCAGTGGGGACAGGGATCGGTTCAACGACGCTCATCTCCCCGCCTCTTCGGCCTCGCCAGCCGCCACCGCTGCTGCTCCGCCCCTCGCGCCGCCTGCGGCCGCGCGGCCCTCCGCGCGCACGCGGTATGGGCACGAGGCCGCGGCCGCTGCGGGGCCCTGCGGGGCGACCTGCAGCATTCAAGCGCGGCCGCGTGCTAGAGGAGCGTGGGAGTCGACGGCGAAAGGGAGGTCTGAACCGTAAACGCTGGATTCTTAACCGTAAGCGTGGTACCAGGCTAAAGCACGGCTTCGGCACCAGGCTGAGGCACCAGGCGAAGGCACGGGGCTGAGGCACCAGGCTCAGGCACCAGGCTCAGGCACCAGGCTAAGGCACCAGGCTGAGGGATCAGGCTACGGCACCAGGCTAAGAGCACCAGGCTACGGCACCAGGCTGAGGCCCCAGGCTAAGGCACCAGGGTAACGGCACCAACCCACGGCACCGGACTGATGGCCCCTGACTAACGGCACCAGGCTGACGGCACCAGGCTAACGGCACCAGGCTGCGGCACCAGGCTAACGGCACCAACCAACGGCACAGGATTGCTGGCACCAGACTAACGGCACCAACCAACGGCACCGGACTGATGGTACCAGACTAACGGCACCAGACTAACGGCACCAGGCTAAAGCACCAGGCTAACGGCACCAGGCTAGCGGCACCAACCAGCAGCACCGGACAAATGGCACCAGATTTACGGCGCCAGACTAACGGCACCAGGCTGAGACACCAGGCTAAGGCACCAAGCCAAGGCGGCAGGCCAACGGCACTGGGCTGCTGGCACCAGGCTAACGGCACCAGACTAAACGGCACCAGACTGATTGCACCAGATTATCGGCACCAGACTAACGGCACCAGACTCACGACACCAGACCAAACACACCAGACTAACGGCACTGGAGTAATGGCACCGGGTTAGTGGCACCAGACTATAATGGCACCAGACTGACGGCAAGTGAGTCATAGCACCAGACCTCCTCCTCCCCCTCCCTTCCGCCTCCAACGTTCCCCGCGCATCCTTTTTCTTCCTTCTGCGTCTTCGTATCGTCTCCTTGCCCTGCCCCTCCTTCTACTCAGCTTGTGGCGCCGTTGCTTATTTCCAACCATCCTGTGGTGTTGGGTCCTCGTTTTGAAGAGACGGTCCCCGCGTCCTCCTCTCCTCTCCTCCTCTCCTCTCCTCTCCTCCTCCTCCCCCTTCTCCTCCCTCCTCCCCCTCTTCCCTGCGTTTCACCCACCCAGTACAGCGTTTCGTAGCCCCATAGGAGCTCCGCCGAAGGCCCCAGTGCTGCCGCCCGCATGCGCCACCCACACCCAATTCGGCACACCCCTCACACGTTTCGGGCCCCATAGGAAGGTCCGCCGAAGGCCCAGTGCTGCCGCCCGCATGCGTCACCCACACCCAATTCGGCACACCCCTCACACGTTTCGTGGCCCCATAGGAGCTCCGCCGAAGGCCCCAGTGCTGCCGCCCGCATGCGTCACCCACACCCAAGTCGGCACACCCCTCACACGCCGAAGGCTCAGTTTTGCCGCCCGCATCGTCACCCACACCCAATTCGGCACACCCCTCACACGTTTCGTGGCCCATAGGAGCTCCGCCGAAGGCCCAGTGCTGCCGCCCGCATGCGTCACCCACACCCAATTCGGGCACACCCCTCACACGTTTCGTGGCCCCCTGGGAAGCTTCCGCCGAAGGCCCCAGGGCTGCGCCCGCATGCGTCACGCACACCCCCAATTCGGCACACCCCTCACACGTTTCACCGCCTCACACGTAGGCTTTCCTACCCCATAGGAGCTCCGCCGAAGGCCCCAGTGCTGCCGCCCGCATGCGTCACGCACACCCAATTCGGCACACCCCTCACACGTTTCGTGGCCCCATAGGAGCTCCGCCGAAGGCCCCAGTGCTGCCGCCCGCATGCGTCACCCACACCCAATTCGGCACACCCCTCACACGTTTCGTGGCCCCATAGGAGCTCCGCCGAAGGCCCCAGTGCTGCGCGCCCGCATGCGTCACGCACACCCAATTCGGCACACCCCTCACACGTTTCGTGGCCCCAGCTCCGCCGAAGGCCCCAGCCGATGCGTCCGCACACGCAATTCGGCCCACACGTTTCGTGGCCCCATAGGAGCTCCGCCGAGGCCCGCCCGTGCGTCACCCACACCCAATTCGGCACACCCCTCACACGTTTCGTGGCCCCATAGGGAGCTCCGCCGAAGGCCCCAGTGCTGCCGCCCGCATGCGTCACCCACACCCAATTCGGCACACCCCTCACACGCTTCGTGGCCCCATAGGGAGCTCCACCGAAGGCCCCAGTGCTGCCGCCCGCATGCGTCCCGCACACCCATTCGGCACACCCCTCACACGTTTCACCCCTGCACACGTTTGGAGCGCCCCATAACGCCCCAGTGCTGCCGCCCTGCATCCTCACGCACACCCAATTCGGCACACCCTCTCACACGTTTCGTGGCCCATAGGGAGCTCCGCCGAAGCCCCAGTGCTGCCGCCGCATGCGTCCCCCGCACACCCAATTCGGCACACCCCTCACACGTTTCGTGGCCCCATAGGGAGGTCCGCCGAAGGCCCCAGTGCTGCCGCCCGCATGCGTCACGCACACCCAATTCGGCACACCCCTCACACGTTTCGTGGCCCCAAAGGGAGCTCCACTGAAGGTCCCGTTTGGTGTGCCCGCAAGCGTCCCGCACATTCATTTCGGCACATCCCTCACACGCTTCGTGGCCCCATATGGAGCTCCACCGAAGGCCCCAGTGCTGCCGCCCGCATGCGTCCCGCACACCCATTTCGGCACACCCCTCACGCGTTTCGTGGCCCCATACGGAGCTCCGCCGAAGGTCCCAGTGGGTGTGCCCGCATGCGTTCCGCACCCCCATTTCGGCATGCTTTTCACACGTTTCGTGGCCCCATAGGGAGCTCCACCGAAGGCCCCAGTGGGTGTGCCAGCATGCGTCCCGCACGCCCATCCCGGCACACCCCTCACACGTTTCGTGACCCCTCACACGTCTCGTGGCCCCATAGGGAGCTCCACCGAAGGCTCCAGTGGGTGTGCCCGCATGCGTCCCGCACACCCATTTCGGCACACCCCTCACACGTTTCGTGGCCCCGTAGGGGGCTCCACCGAAGGCCCCAGTGGGTGTGCCCGCACGCGTCCCGCGCACCCATTTCGGCACACCCCTCACACGTTTCGTGGCCCCATAGGAGCGCACCGAAGAAGATATTCACAATTGCGGTATTCACAATTGCATATGGTCGGGTCCTTCGCCAGGATATATATATATATATATATTATATATATATATATATTTTTTTTTTTCCCCCTCTCTCTCTCTCTGCCTCTAATCAACCGCCCCCCTCTTCGCTCCTTCTATCCTGGCGTTTCCCCTCTTCCTTCGTCCCTCCCCCTCCCTTCCCCCCACTCTCGCTCATTATCCCTTTCCTCTTTGTGCAGGGCCCACACCAATTCCAATGGCGGGCGCATGTACGCCCACGACGGATTGTCCGCCCGTTCAAGTTCGGCAACCTGTCTAAGCCCGCCGCCCCCCGCAAAGAGAAACAATCCCCCAAAGGGGGGGGTGATCGGAGACGAAAACGGCGGGTATCGAGGGTGTGGGGAGCTCGTTTTGAATGACACACGTGCAAGTAAGAGCGAACAATCTTAGAATGATTGTTGTTGTTATGGTTGTTGTCGTTGTTTTGTCAGTTGTTTTCGTTTTGCACGTACCCCCCGCGACCCGGCCCGGCCCGCGACCCACCTGTGATCCACCCCACGACACGCCCGCGACACCCCCGCGACCCACCCGCGACCCACCCACGACCCACCCGCGACCCACACGCGACCCGGCCCGCGACCCACCCGCGACCCACCCGCGACCCACCCGCGACCCACCCGCGACCCACCCGCGACCCGGCCCGCCACCCACCCGCGACCCACCCGCGACCCACTTGCGACCCACCCCACTTGCGACCCACATTGCTTTGACGAAAGATCGGCGCCTGCAGCGGGTTCGTTGTATAATTTGCATAAACTAGGCGCCTGAGGCGAACTTCTTCAAAGCCTCGCAGACTGCAGACATCCCCGCCGTCCCTTCACCCTTATCCGCGACGACGAGGCGCTACGTATGTAAACATATATATACTAGAACCATCGCGCGCGCTCAACTTCTAGCCAGGATAGTCGTCATCGTCATCATTGCCATCCCCATCACCATCATATCCGGCGTCATCGTCACCGGCGTCGTCATCATCACCATGACCATCACCATCATCACAATCGTCACCATCACCACCATCAGCAGCAACATCGTCATCACCATCGTCATCATTGCCATCGTCGTCATCATCGGCAATATCGTCACCTGAATTATCAACATAATCA